GCACAGCTCTCTATACACTTTTCAAAATAAATTTGCTGATTTGTCGAATTGAAATTGCCTTAAACTTTTCATTCAGTTGTGTGTACTGTTTTTTTTTTTATTTACTTCCTTTTGACTTTTTTTTTCCTTTGATATTCTCTCCAAATACAACATATTAAAAACTTACTGACAGTGATAATACACTGAAGTAAAAAAGAAAAAATCATTATCATTACAAACATTAATTAATTACTCTGCTACCAGCAGCTTGTAAAATTCCAAACCTACAGTATAACTGATTGCTTAGTTTGGTTACCATGACAATAGACTGAGACACGGTGCCACGAATAATTTACCAATCTAAAGACATGAACTCAATCATGGCCCAATAACGTACGTTCCTCCATTTCTTACCTAACTTGCATATGTTAATAATAATTCATTAAACTAGAAATTGCAAATTGCAAGTGAAGTGCTGCAAAGTACAACTGCATATAAATGTTCTTCGAACAAAATTATTTATGCGAGTCAAGTGAAAATAATGAATAATAAAAATATAACAAATAATACAGTATGAGACACGACCCATTGTCTATATTAGAACAGCGTTGGTACCGTGTATGCCAGTCTACAACAAGCGTCGCCTAAATATAATAATTAGCACGCTGAAATAGGCTAGTAAATAAGTTTAACTGGGTTCGTAAATAATATAAGCCGATTAAACGTAGAAATAGGAAACCTAGAAATATAGTAAAAACGCTGAATAGTAATACTCCAGCGTCACGACATGCGGACGTTGGTACGAGTAGGTTAGTCTACAAACGTCGCCTAAAGTAATTGATTTTACCTGGCAGAACGAAAGAAGGAAACTCCGCTTTTCAGTCGTCGTAGGCCCTTGTTTTTTGACAAACAATGACCTTTCAGAGGTCAAATTGCTGTCAAGAATATGAATTGGCTGCTTCGCAGCAAAAATTAAAGCAATAATTAATAAACATTTTATGTTAATAAAATTTATTACCACATAGACAAATAATTGAGTATTCAGAGGAAGTAGAAAGCAAGTGAAAAATTGACGCACAACAAAATGAAGCACATGTTTAACCTTTCACCTAGATTAGTGGCGCGTGATTTGTTGTTTGGATGAGGGCCAACTTCACACTGCCTCTAGATCGGCTTGAATCTTCCTTGTGGATAGCTGGTATTTAGTAATACATACAGTAACACGTAAAATATAATAATAATTAATAATTATTATTATTAAATCCTCATTTTGTCTGTATTTTTAATTTGTATTTATTTATTTATTTATTTGGTTTCTTGCCGTTTTGGTCCATTGCCGTTCTAATAAAAAAAAGTGTAGCTGGTTTGGTAATTGCCGTTTCGACTTATTGCCGCTTTGAAAGCGCAAATGCTAGCGGTAACCTTTTGCCCTGCATGCTTTTTTTTTGGCAGTCGACCAAGTTTTTTTCTGACGCACTTACATTCCTATGTGCTCGTTGTTTGTTGGTATATCAGGTTGCTTCAGCAAAACTAGTTTATTTTTTTCCATAAATGTAGTGTCTTTGCGTATTACTATTTATATCAGTTTTGTGAATATGCTATCTCATCTGATCAAGGAATATGTATTTCAAAAACTAGAATTTATTATAGTATTATGTGGTAGCTAGACGTTTTTGAAAGATAGCGAGAAGATACAGAGTGAGCATAGGCCTACACATGGTTATCTACAAGCATAGCGCATAGGCCTTGTTAAGGTAACCAACAGACGAACATATTAATTAGGATAATTATCTTAAATTGTAAAAGCTAAACTTTAGAACAATAAAATACACAAGACACTTGCAATTAGACGATGCCTGTTTTATCTTAATTCAGTTGTACACTACAACGTTTATTCATGTTAATTATAACGGTAGACTGAACTAACAAAAACATAAACAATTCTTTGTCCCTACGTTAGGTCGGTTCGCGGCCTACGTTCATCTTAGCTCTACGACGTACGTTCGCTGAACTACGTTCTACGTGTAAGGTTCGTGTAGAGGATTGTTTATTCTACGTCCTACGTGGCCTACGCATACGCAAATCTTTTCGTTATGTCTACGACATTTACGCGTAGTAAATGTTGCAATATTATTTAGCTGTACTGTATAGCACTTGCTCAGTAACGAAACTCTATAGATTTTAATTGAACTATTCTTCTTACCTGCAATGTAAGCAATTCCAGGGACTATATACACTGCAACAGACAGAAGGATGTAAAGTACGCCACGTTTCCAGTTGTCAAACCACTTCAAACCACTCCAAAATTTACCGCAGCAACTGTTTAGGCTGCAAAGACATTTGAATTATTAACTACCGTTCTTAATAAATGCAATTAAAGAGGCCTTAACTTCCACCAATCTTTGACTAAGTCACTACTAGTCGTCAGGGGTGGCGCCAGGATTTGCCCGATGGGTGATCCGAGGTCCCCAATGAGGAGGAAGATTTCCTCGACGAGAGCAAATTAGGCGTGGCTGAACGTCGCTTTAAATGTTCAAAAGTAGTCCAAGGGGGCAAAGCCCCAAGAAATTTTGACAATTTAGGGGTTTCAAAGGCTTATTTAATCGATTATAGTCTAATCATGTGCAAAATACATATAACATTTTTCTCTCCCCGACAAATTTTGTTTTTCTCCCCGACGGGGGCCCTGCCCCTCCCCACCCACTGTCGCCACACCTGCTAGTCGTTATATGGCAAGTTGAGTGGCTGAGCAGTAAGGCAGGGGTGCCTCAAACTACAGTCTTAACAAGACGTTCCTCGCCCAGTTTTTGGTTGGTAGAACCAAGTCTTCTTGGATAATGACTTAAAATGGAGGTCCAGTATACACATCTGGCTCATGTGCACTTTAAAAACAAATTGTATCTTTCAGAAGAGTAGGGGATTTACCTCGATGCTATGGTTCATTTCAGCCCCTGTCGTTGTGGAATGATATGAACGTGTAGTATATGTGCCTCTTACGACAATTTTTTCAGAGACTGTATTTAACCTTTCTGTGATTAACTAATATACTTACTTGCAGCATTTATCCAAACAAGAGCCAATAAGAAATGCTCCTTCTAAAAAAGTTAAAACCACAGCAACAAATCTGTACAAAAGGAATATAAGATTTAATATTCAATACAAGTACAAGAAATTTAATATGAACTTTGTGTATTCATGCTACCACCTGTACATATTACCTAAGCAATAATAAATACAGAGATTGTATTTGACAAATATTAAAGACATTTTTTGTTATTTCACAGTTGACAAACACTAAAATAAAAAAATAATAATTTCGCAAAAATTACAGCAATAATTGAAGTAACATCAACAGAACCACCCACCCAACCCCAGCATACATCATAAAGCATGTGTGTTTGTCAATCTGGTAAAGTTTCATTTGATTAACTGCAAAACAAATATTAAATATAATATTAATTTATAAAGCATTATAAAAAGCTTGTATATGATCAAACAAGAAATTACTTAGTACAGCGACATTTTAGGTGGGTTTTTAAAAGCAAATATAATCAGAATTTTTAAAGAAGTAAAAGAAATTCTAAGTAAAAATTAGCTTACACCAAATATGCTCCTACCCATGGCTTCAAACTTGAACACTGATCAATACCAATGGCCCATGTTGCTGAAGTAGAAATGAATATTCATTAGATTAAACTGAAAGGGTTTATCCTGGGCCTTGGGATATAACAATGCTCCCTGGTCAGGTTGCACTGTACCCAGGGTAAAGAAGGAAGAAATTAAAAAAACAATAAATAAATACCTGCTTTGTTAAGTTAAATCATAGACCATGCATTAAATAATCATACAATGACCATACAGTAGGGTGCTGTATACACTTAGCCAAATATTAAGAGCTCACAAAGGAGCAATTCGATTGCTGGGGACTTACTCAGCGTTCCCCCATGCACATGTCATGAGCATGTCGTGGAAGAAAGAAATTTAAAAAATAAATAAATAAATAAATACCTGCTTTGTTCAATTAAATCACATACCCTATATACATTCAATAATCATACAATGAACATAAGTGCTGTATACACTTAGCCAAATAAGAGATCACGAAGGAGCGCCTACATTGCTGGGGACTTACTCAGCGTTCCCTCATGCACGTCATGACCATGTCGTGGCGCAAAGTCATTAGAGAATAGATTTTGATGACAACAAATGACTGTACAATGTATATTCATGTTGGATTTTATTTACTTTAATACAGTGTTTAAATATTTATCATTTCATGTTGTTATAAAACAATATAATGATTATGTTACAGTTTTATTGAATCAACTAAAGAAAGGGAAGAAAATTAAGTATAGGAAAAAACTTTGGAAGCGGCTTAAAATAACGTTCTGATAATTTATAATAATATCCATAATAAAATTAATATTATTTATTCTTTTGTTACAAATTTAGATTTAGGGCACTATTTAATCAGCAGTTGTCGAGGTACCAAGTTTCATTACTTAATGAATCAATTTAATTAAATTTCTTTATTTGTCACAATATACATACATGATGATAATGAACTTTCTGCTAAGGGCTCATGGAAAAAAACTGTTACATTATCACTTCCACCCACGTAAAAAAGTTGGGATATATTGATGCAGTTAAAAAAATTTTTTGCTGCATCATTTATTTCAACAGCAATTTTGTGACTGGAAATACATGTTCTTGCCAAATAAAAACAGTCCCTCCCTCATTGATAAAAAAAAAAAATATCATCACTTTTTTTTTTAAAGAGTGAAAATCAAAGATCTTATAAAAACAATATAGCATTCTCCGCGATATCCGAGTGCAAATTCTTTAATAATGCAGTGTATGGCACCCTCTTGCGAAAGTGACAACTTTTGAACTTCGACTGCTTTAACCATGGGGTACACCTCGTGACTTTACCTTTACAGTACGTGTAACAATTAGAAGCGTCGATTTACAATTAAGGAACAACAACGTACTTGGTAATGAACTGTTTCTACTTTTTGCGAAGCGAAAAAAGTGGCAACCAATCAGAGCTCAGGAACCGAACCAACACCTTGATTCGCACAAATAATTTTGCATAGTGGAAAACAGGATTAAAGAGACCTGCCCAGTCGGCTAAAAACAGGCAACGCCCAGTGGGTTGATCGGATCGATGATTCACAGCGTGAAGACTCACATGTTTTACAAAGACTCTCGCTGCTAAAAATTATTTGTTACATCATGTACTTGAAGTGGGGGTTTTCTTTGCAATGGTTATGTTTGGTTGGATTGGTTGTTGTTGGGAAAAAGTAACCTACATCATCAAGAAAGAAAGTTTAGGAAAAGGCTGGCCTAACTCGAGGTAAAGACAAAAGTCTAGGCGTCTAATGCCTACTAAATATAATAAGGTCTTTCCTTAAATGCTAGAGTAACGTTTGATTTTTTTCACCAGAATAATCCCACCCACCCTCTTCCTCCTTCAGAAAAAAAAAAAAAAAAAAAAAAACCTCCTGCCTCCATCAATTTTTTTTCTTCTAAAGAGTGATGTATAAGAAGTTTTTCTATGTGCCCTAGTGTTGTGTATGCAGCCCTGCTACTTATGTTGTGTTATATGAACGTGTTTCAAGTTTTGGTTCAAAGCGTGTGTATTAGACATGTGTTTATGTTCATATTTAATACTGTATAATAAATATGAATGAATGTAAAATATTCTAAAACACCGTTCCGCAAATTATGGGTCACGACCCAATGTTTGGGTTGCGAAAAATATTCTCTTCTATATATAATCTCTTCAGATCGTGACAGCTTTACAGTTTACTTAACACGAAGACAAAAGAAATTAAATTACAGTAAACAAAAGTGCAATTTAAGTGTGATAAGTGTCTCAGTTTACTTTTGTTATGCGTGCGTTATCACAGTTAAAAATATACTATCAAAACATGTATTTCATAAATGACAACTTATAGTTTTGTTCATTTTAATGTGATAGGCTTTCAGCTGCAAATTATAATGAGAAAACATTTTTAAATTTAATGTGTCTATGTCTTCACATAACCCATAAATCTCTGGCAGCACTAGAAATTTATAATAAAATGTCTGTTAATCATTAATTTTTAAGTCTTTAACCTATTGAAAAATTTGATAACTTGCGTGATTTTATCAAATGAATAATTCAAAGTTATATTTTATTTTTTATGGGTTTTACATAGTGATTTTTTTTGTGATAATAACTTCAAGAATAAGAATCAAGTGGGTGGTTCTTCGACCTATCCCTCTTGAGTATAAACTGAAGGACGTTTTATTGACTTCAGGTTCGATGGGTCGCGTCAGAGCGCTTGACATATAATTTGGGTCGTAGGCTAAAAAGGTTGCTGAACGGATCTAAAATATAAAGTAATATGATATAATAATAATATTAATATACTGAAGTGCAGGGAATGTTAAAAGCAGGGGGCCATGGCCCCAGTAAATGGATGGATATTTAGGCCACGAATCTATGAAATGATTAATTGACATGCTCTACCCATTTACCTGGTGAGTAGGATATTACATTTGTTAATCTTAGTCTGCATTAATTAGCAAATTGCAAGAATGACTAGGAATAGTACTTTCTTTTTTCTTGGCTTTAGGAATAAAAGGGCACATAGAAAAACTGATTAGATTATCACTCTATTTTATTTAAAAAAACTGACGAGGACAGGAGGTTTTATGGGTAGAGGATGGGTATGGGATTATACCCAGGGTTTCCTGTGTGCATGAACAGAACAAACATGACATTGTTTTTCGAAGTGTCTCAGATGCATTTAAACAACTGCCCCGTGTGACCCAATAGCCTATCCAAATCTAGGCCTACTGTATATTCCGGTGAAAAAAAATCAGACATTACTCGAGCATCAAATGGAAGGGAACATCCTAATTATAGTTATAGTAGGCATTTGCCTATAGGTAGGCTTTGGTCTTTACCTTGCCTTTGCCTAAACTTTCTTTCTTGATGTCGTAGGTTAGTTTTTTCCCCAAACAATCCAATCAAACACACATATTGCAAGGAAGACCGCCCACCACTAGCTTTATGTAACGAGTATTCTTTTAGCAGCGAGAGTCCCTGTGGAACATGTGAGTCTTAATGCTGTGATTCAACGATCCAATTAGCCCACTGGGCAGGTCTCTTTATTGATGGACCGCGGTGTTGCCTATTTTTAGCCGCTGTTGTGGAACACTCGAGTCTACAAGCTGTGAATTAACAATCCGATTAGCCCATTGGGCGGGTCTCTGTAGGGACGGACCACGGTGTTGTCTATTTTTAACCGCAGTTAGCAAGCAGCTTTCTTTGTTGAATAAGAGTACAGTGTGAAGAAATGAATACAACGATCTCACGACGATGATCAGAATTTTACTAAAATATACTGTGTACTTCATTTCAAACATATTGAAGAAAAATAATGCAAAAACTGAGAATATTACATTTCATTTTAATTATTCTATTCTATATATAACATATTATTATAAATAACTTGTGGCCGAGTTGACTGTAGCCGAACTTTTGTGGCCGAGTTGACTTGTGGCCGAGTTGGATGGAATTCGTACAATCGTAGCTAGTAGAGAAGAGACTACTTCTTCTAAACTAGGCCTAGAGAGCGGCTAGCCTAGGCCTAGGGCAGTAAGTAGTTAGTATCATGGGAAGTGAGCGATAAACGCTCGAATTAACTCGTTAATTGTTTGTTATCTTACCTACTACAGTCAATATTCCCCAAAGACGTATAATGAGTGTATAATGCTCCCAAATCCATACACAAATAGCGTTATCACAAGCCATTTTTTAGTTTAAATTTAGAAATAAAGCAACGACTTCGTTGACCTACGACTGCTTGCTGGCTGCTGCGCAGCTCCGCTTACGTATTGTATTATTTTTATACTGAATGCACATGCGCAGAGTCAAGCACACCATTCAAAATATTCATTCAAGTGAAAAAATATAATAAACTTTTATTTAATATTTCTAGTCTTGACCTTGAAGAACGGGATAGAATGCAAGCAATAATCACAGTGCGTCGAGATCTAGCGCTGTTCTCCGCTTCTGCAGTAGTGACTGACGAGATAGTGTGCAGAGCGTGAAACCGGGGAATCCCCTCCCCGACAGGAAGCTTGTCGAGGGAACCAAAAAACCAATAGGCCTACCGTACTCGCGCGAATAAATAAGCGCCCCTCAAAAAACACTTTTTGAGGGGCGCTTATTCAAACGGGGTGCTTATTCGAACGGGGCGCTTATCAAAACAGAGTTGAAATTGAGGCCGGCGCTTATGGAAATATTTATTAATTTTTTTTATTTATTCTTTTTTATTATACTGAATATACACTTTCAATACATAGTACTGATTTCCAAAGTGGTTCAGTTCTTATCTACAAAAACATTTTAAAAGCAGAAAATAACAAAGAGAGCAAAAACTTAACTACAAATTTTAAAAATAAGTGAGTGCATTTGAATTGTGCTTATGTTATAATTAATTAGTTAATTGTTGCAATTGTTAATTATAGTGATAATGATATATTTATATAATTATATTTATGAATATGCTATTATATATTATAGGGTTTTTTTTTGTTTGTATCGGATGGTGAATACCTGCGTTACTGTGTGAATACCTGCGTTACTGTATACGTCGGAATAAAAGAAGAGATAGTAATTGCAGTCTGGTCTCAAAACGTACGGTACTTTGTTCTTCTGAATGGGTATTTGGTCTCATCCACCAAACCTCAGTGGTCGAATCCGGACTAAATCAATACTGAGGCTTCCCGAACCACGACATTATTATTATTATTATTATTATTATTATTATTATTATTATTATTATTATTATTATTATTATTATTATTATTATTATTATTATTATTATTATTATTATTATTATTATTATTATTATTATTATTTCCTGTATTATTATTATATTATTATTGTTATTTATATTATTATTATCTATGTCAAAATGTACGGTTAATACAAAATCAATCACAGGGAATAATGGCTATACATGTGCGTTGATTCCTATAAACTTATTGAAAGGCATATATAATTTTATTATATATTGTTATTCCAAAATTACACCAAAGCGAAAACATATTATTTTAATTATTACTTTTTGATTAATGAATAATTATTTCATTATTTTAACGAATGCTATGGAGTTGGTAGCCTACAGAAATGGTAGATCTAGAGCTACATCTAAAAAGAAAGTCAAAAATAACCACCGAGCACTAAGGGACTGAAAATGAACACAGAATCTGAAGAAGAGCAACGACGACGTGAATGGTGTGTTAATTTCAATCATACAGTGTATGTTTTAACCAGTAGGCCTAATCTACTCAGTCTGTCGTAATTCGGAAAAACGCAATTTATTTAATTTTGAAATTTTGGCTTAGGGGCACCCTGTGGATCATAGCTCCAAACAATTTTTCGAAATATGAAATTATTATGAGTTACGCATTATTATATCCAACCATCCAACCACTAACCATTGAAATGTTGGCAATCAATCAATCACAGAAGACATTTATGCATATTTAATTACTTTCCCAGCTGGTGACGGCAATCAACCAATCACAGAAGACATTTATGCATATATAATAACTTTCCCAGCTGGTGACGGTACAATAAAAATGCATTATTATTTTTTCTGAAGTTACAACTTAAAAGTTGTGGTCAGAAGATTAATTTTAGAACCGCATTATTAAAAAGATTATTAGGTTAATCTTTCCACGTCGGCGCGTGCACTGAAAACGTTTTTTTTTTTTTAATTGGATTTAACATGTGTATAATGATTTTGATAAACAATCATAATTCTCTGTACTATCTACTAAACATTTAAAGAATGAACTTCCTCATGCTGTCGTCATATTAGACTATTATATTTTTAAAGAAGACCATGCAGCAAACAACATACAGTAAAACAAAATTCCATAGAGATAATAAGAATACTAAAGCTAAGAATGCTAACTGCAATGTATTTGATGTTCGAAATACGCAGAGCTGTGTGTGTGTACCATCCAAGAGGCTGCCATAGATTCAGCCAATCAGATTTCGCCTAAGCGCCGTCGTTTGCAATTGCGCCCTCAATTTACACAGAAAGTTTAGTACATCTAGTTACCCGTATGTTTGAAACTCGAGCTTTGCGGTGTATGGGTGTAATGTACACGATTTTAATTTTCATTCCTTGGTACTTTATTTTTGAATACGATGCTCCACTTGGCCTCGTTTTGGCTACGATAGTTTAATAATTTGTTATTACCATTACTCATTATCATTAATGAAATAATAGTCAGTCAGAGGGCGTATTTATGGTAATAATATGTATACTAAGCCTGAAGGTGGCGCTTTACTACGACGGCCATCTTGGATGGTACACATACATAACTCTGCATTGCTCCGCCATCTTGTCAGCACTCTAGTTGTTTAATAGCTCTATGCAAAATTCCCACGTCGGTGCATGCATAAAACGTATAATTTCCTGAAATTTGGATATAGAGCGGACTTCCTTATGATTTAGCCATAAGGAAATATAAATGTATATGGGTCTGAACTTTGTAGGTGACAAAGTGTTCTTCCTTATGTTGTGGTCATATTACAATATAATATCAAAACCATTAAACAAACAACATGAAACAAACATCAAAATTTAGGTTAACATTTCCGCTTCCGAGCATGCATATAACGTATTTTTTTTAGATATATGATATTATATTATTATGACAGTTGACTCGAGAATGTACTGATTATATAACTTATAGATAATTACTGTTGTCCGATTGTGTGCACTGAAAATGTGACGACGAACTCTGGATACGGGCCTCGGTTGACACCATATCAAAGGGCCTGTTAATTAAAATTGCACAGGATCCTGTCGTCACCTGCTACGATGCCTTCTCCTCCTTATCATCATCATCACATCATCATCATCATCAGCAGCAGCATCGTCATCTTCATCATCGCAGTTATTAATTGTCCATGCTAAAATGGGAGAACTCAATGAATTCAGCGTGTATTCATTTATCAATAGAAGTCTCGTAATGCACTTCTCAGCATCTAGAAAAAACAAAACTTTGCGAAGCTAGGAGAACCCCAAGAATACTGCAAACCACCCCCTCCCCCACGTGTAAAATAATCTTCCAGCGACGGAACGAGCAAACATTACATTTTCTTCCCACTAAGGGAACCCATTATGTGCGATATAGTCAGGGTAAAGTTCGGTTTCCATATAATCGCTCACCCTATTGGCGACAGTTGTCGGGAAGGTTGAACCTGGTTCAACTTTTACGATTGCGTTGCAGAGACGCAGACGAATCAGGGTGCATTGCTAGCTGCCCTGCGCAATAGGAAAGGCACCCCGATTCGTCTGTGAACCACAACTGTGACGACTGTCGGCGATAGGGTGAATGAACGATTCTTGGAAACCGAGCTAAAACTGTGGATCAACGCCTATTCTCAAATTCCCAAATCCTGCATCCGCCCCAGGGGTGGGAGAAGGAGCATACGAGGGAGCATAACTGCCGTCGGGAGGAAGTCAATAATTTTGTCGAGAAACACTGCTTTGAAAAAGCATTTTTACCGTCTGAAGAGTGCCATTTCCGAGCGTCTAGAGGGGCCTATTCTTAAAATTTCCTCCAAGGGCCACTAATCCTTAGGGCCCCTTCGGTGCCCCTACCATATTGTCCAGTAGGGTCCTTGCTATATAGTACCCTTATCCAAAAGGGCTTTGCTGCTCAGTCACTGACATCGACTGTAGGGCATACAGCATATTAATCCAGCGAGGTGGGTTGCCCAGCCGGCCAGGACCCCTGCATTTGTAAACATTTTTTTTTAATGGAGATAAAGTATTCAAATTTTAAGTCTGAATGCCCGGCCCCGCCCCCTCCCCCTTTCGGGAGGTAAAAAAAAGAAAAAAAAAAAGAAAAAAATGATAGCCCACAACGCCTCAAATGTTATTTTCGGGCGTCTAGAACACAAAAATTTCGCGGGGGCATGCCCCCGGACCCGCTAGGACATTGTTGTCTCAATCGGTTCAAATGTTTCCCCCCTTTCGGGCCCCCCCCCTTTTGGACATCTCTGGATCCGCCCCTGGAATGAGTGTTATTTCTGGGCATCTAGAGGTACCAAAATCATAATTTGCTTTGCGACTCCCAGTATAGAATAGACTATAGGTCCTTGATTAGACCTTTGCGATGCCCGTGAGGGACTCGAGAGGGAGAAGGGGAGCATAGCTCCCGTCGAGAAGAAGTCAATATTTTTTTGTAAAGGAACACTGCTTTGAAAAAGTATATTTTTACCATCTGAGAGTAGCATTTTCGAGTGTCCGGAGGGTCCTATTTTAAACATTTGCTCAGGTTCTCAGCCCCAACCATGGTGGGGCTGAGGTGAATGTGCCATCCCCCCCTCCCCGGTCAGAAAATTCCTGGATCCGCCCCTGAGGTTCCAGCATGCCATTTGTAAGCCAGAACCCAGTATTATTTTGTTACATTTCTTTGCAGAGGGGGTTCGTCCGAACCCCTGAACCCCCCTGGATCCGCCACTGAAAACCCCCTTAAACCTTCATCTTCCCCTTTCCCCCAGATAATGTAGAGTGGTTTGTCGCAGCAAATGCTGTCTCTTATACACATCTAGATGTGTATAAGAGACAGGTGTCTACCTTACCCTATGATTAGTGTGCCTGTTATAGCATGGTTATAGTGATTAGGTGGAAATTCTTTGTTTTAAAAGTATATATGATGAGTTGAGCGGTCAAGTGACGATTCGCAGTCAGGAACTTGATGAATAAACACCTCAGCTACCAGTTATACGTTTGTTTCTTTATATTTCGTTTGTCAGTGCAAAATACGAAGGGTTACATTTTGGCGATCCTGCCAGGACACAGTAATAATAATTTGAGCGAAATATTTTCTACAGATTATTTGCTACG